CCATCACATATATATTTAAAATTGTGGAAAATAAATTAAATTATTTACTTGCTATCAAAGTTAAGGGCAACTGTGCTTGTATTTCTCCCCTGTGGTCCAGCCAGGGCACCCATTCTAGGCTCCGGGCTCCTCAGCCATCACCTCTCTTGGGCAGAGACATGCAACCAGCGTTTTTCCGGGCTGCATAGTTCCCTGGCCACATTGTGAGTTCCCCAGCAAGTCAGACTGTCTAAATAGCTCTGCTTTGTTTTCTCCTCAGAGGTTATAAACAGTTTAATTGCCCACGGTTATAAGGTTACACAGTTTTTCTTAAGCAAGCACATTTATTTGTATGCTGAATGCATTACCGAGAAAACATATTAAAACAATAAAAGAACCTATACACATAAGTTTACCCCAAAGATCACCCCACTTCAATAAGGCTCTGGTAAGAGTCAGTCTTTCAAAACTCACTCGGGCTATTTTTATGTTAATTTCTTTGTGTACATTGCACTGTACCATATTGTACTAAATCTGTCCAAACTGACCTAAGAATGCAGTGATCCTTTTGTTTCAACTATTTGGGAGCTACCAGGGCATGTCTGACAGTTTTACAGTGCACTTCACTGGAGCTGGAGGCCAATGTGAAGCACCTTTTGAAGGGCATGCATTCTATTAATATGCTGAAAGCTGCTTTTAAGTAACGTTAGGACAAGTTGGTTTGCAAATGTGCAGCTCAGCTGCCCTTGAGGATAAAACTGCCCGCCCCCCCGCCATTCTGAAAAGCCCCTCAGTTTATCCCCAGAATCAGGTAGACCATCCAGGTGGCCAGCAGACACCGGGCAGTGATGAGAGCAGTGCCCCCAGCAACTGTGAAAACAGAGGAGACCGCTCCCTCTGCATCCTGCAACCATGTGAATGGCTGAACTAAGGGAGCTTCTTCAAAAAAAAATCATGTCAGCAGTGCTCCACCAAGCACAACAGCGACATTGTGACTCAGAAGTTTTTTGATGACTTGAAGCCAGATATGTGAGAAAAATTCAAAGAACCTGTGAATGAGATTTCCTCCATGTTGGAAAACCTAGGTTGGAAAGGGATTGGGACCAGAGGATTTATTATTTGTCATTACTTGAACAGCCTTCAATGTCTCGCTCGTATGGGTGGATTGGAAAATTGTGTTGGGAGGAGGAAAGTGAGGACAGAAGGGAGTGGAAAAGGCAGGGAAAATGGTAGTGTGTGCACATGTGCAGGGGAATGTGGAGGTCAGGAGCTGGGGGAAACTGGCCAGTACACTCTGGCTGCTTTACTCTCCCTTGCTGAGAAACAAAGGTATCTTGAATTATGAAGAACTTCTCTGAGCAGGACTTCCATCTCCTCAGATACTGATCAATGGAGACTAAAGAATTAATGTTTGTATAATCAATTCACAGTTGCCAAGTTTAACGCAGCCTCAATGACATGTTTAAATTTTGTTTGTTTATTTACAAGTTTTAAGTATTGTTAATAAGGACACATGACCAAGTAAATTCAGTGAAAATTGGTTTTTTTTTTAGATACAGATGATTCTTCTTAGTCCAGTTACAAGGGAAATAAAAATGCTGCTTAACATATTGGTTATTCACAAGAGCCTGCATATAGCAGGCTGATGCCTTTGTTACTTTCTCTCACCCATTCCAGCCAGTAGGCAGCTAATCTCAATTCCCCTTCCCTCCTAGGAGATTTGTTACACTGATCATTTTACAGGTCATTTTCAGTGATTGCACTCAAATAGCAATTCATGGATGGGTTTGTTTTTTAATCACTTTATTCCTAGAAGAACAAAGGGGCAATCTTACAAAAGGTATAACAGGAGGAAAATCCTACAATAATTTTACTGGGATGGTTTAAAAGGGATAACATCAATGTTAATTACTGAGCTCTGGATTGTGAACTGGGCACATAATCTGTTTTGTGTTTCATTCCCTGTGTGGACATAGTGATGTGCTGATGCAATGGGGAATTTCTAACCGTGTTACCAGTTTTGGTTTTCTAATGCTGGTGGCACCTCATGCATTCACTTCCAGGCAGTGGGGGGAGGAGAGATCCACCCAAGAGGAGGGAGCTCACACTGCTTCTTCTTCAGCCCCAGGAGCCCCTGTTTTATGGGAAAGGGAATTTTGAACAGACAGCAAGAGCCTCGCCTGAAATAAAACCCCTATGGGACAGGACCTGGGACAGATTCTGCCTGACACTTACTGGCTTCAAGGCAGCAGCTGGATTCCTAAGCAGATGTAGCAGGAGAAGCACATTTTGGCTTGGCTGGTATTAAGCGTATGGGAAGCTCAATGATCAGTTAGTGGATAGAGAAGGCCCTGAGTATTGGACAAGGCACGGATGAGCTACTCCCTTCCCTAGAAGATGTTAGAAAAGGGAAACTATGTTTGACTGGCTTTGGCAAAGGTCCCAAACAGGGTGGTGAAGAGAATTGCCAAATTAATCATTAATGATGGTAAAGCGCACTGAGCTCGAAAAGTGTTCTTTTAAGTGCTAAGCGTTGTCATTAAATATATATGCTGTTTCATCGGAGTCTACGCTCGCCATTTACAGATGGGGGGGATGGGAAGAGCCAACAATGGCACCGTGGTAGGACTGATGCCCCTGCCACTGGTGGTGCTGAGATCCACAGCCCAGGGCCCTGGTCTCACAGATTTCAGCTGTCTGTGGTAGTTGCCAGCCGTGCTCCCAGCAGCCCCAACCCCAGCAGAGCAGGAGACTGTAGAAACATTCCAGGAGCCAAGCATCTCCTGAGGTGAATCCCTCTCTTTGTTGCTTTTGTTCTGACAAAGGCAAGGAGATCGCCTTAATAAACTGTCTGCAAAGATGCAGAGTTACCGTTGCTGTGGAAACAGTAACTTTTAAAAGTATCAGCTATTCAGTTTCTTTCTATTTTTCTCCAAGAAGCTGAGATATTGTTTCTTCTGGGAAAAAAAAACACAACACACCTCATAATGGGGAATCTGACAGAAGACTTTGTTGGGATATAAAGAGCTATATTGCCACCAATGGAGTAACACTCTGCAGTAGTTGAAATGATGATGTTGGGAGAAAGCGAGGATTTTGCCACAGTCAAGATGCAAGAGGAGGAAGTCAAAATATCAGTGTGGGATTAAGAACAAATCCTCACAAAGGAGCCATGCAGGCAGGCTTAAAGAATGCACAGTGTACATAGGGAAGACTGAAGGAGCAGAATATAAATGTGGATCTCTGCAGTTACTGGGTGCATTACATATGATGGTCTGATTAAGACTGGAGAAATTGTTCACACTCATTATTTCAGTTGAAAGCCAATTGAGAGTTCTTTAAAGTTTTATTTATTTATTTACTTGTGATTCTCCCCTGTAGAGCAGAGAGGGAGGTTTGAGTTGGTAATGTATTTCTAAGCATAACACGAGTCTACATGACTCATGTTATTTCTGGCACTAGGTTGGTTGGTTTAGCTGATTACCTCCAGCTTCTCAGATACTTACCACTGCACTGAAAATACTCCCTGATTTGAGGTGAAGTAAATAAGTAAAAGTGAGATGTCATATGTTGATGCTTAGGGTGCTTCTATCAGTTGGAAGATGGCAGGACTAAAGTGCTAATTGTAATTTTGGTATTTTGTTTCCATTGCCTAGAACTGGGGGGGGGGGGGGGGGGTAG